AGGAAACATTAAACCTGGTAGTAAATACTGGAAGAATGGCATATCTGTTAGAGCTATCTTGGCATGTCAGTGTTTTCTGAATTACTAACATCCTTAGCCGACTAGAGTGAATGAGAGCATAAACACAAAACCCCAGTATTTTTCTATTTGTCTGAACAAAATTCTCTAGGTAAGAAAGGACATCACTAAGAGTATGTTCAAAAATGAAGTATGGTGTTTCATAATCTGGAAGGTAGTAAGTTACTTTTGCTACTACAAGAATAAAAGACCAGGACTGTCCTTACATATGTATTTAGATGTTGATATTTATCTCTAGATTTATTCATGCATTTGTGATACAGAAAAGTATAGCATTTATTGGAGGAGAAATTAAACCTACGTTACAGTTCCAATGCAACTGGCTTTTTTCAATGAAATGGATGCCTGAATATTGTTCTCTTGTCTCCCTGAAAAGCTTTAGTCTGCTGCATGTATTTTCATGCAAGTTGTTTTGTTGTGATTGCTTACAGCAGATGAAAAATATGCTTACAGCACTGGGTAAAACTGAAGCTTAATTAATTCATTTAATCTGCCCTGGTTACCTGTTTAACAAAATGCTTCTGTTTGTTTAGGTTCGTCTGGAATGGCCTACAGATTTAGCAATCAATCCAATGGATAACTCCATTTATGTTTTGGATAACAACGTCGTTTTGCAGATCACTGAAAACCGTCAGGTTCGCATTGCTGCAGGGAGGCCAATGCACTGCCAGGTTCCTGGAGTGGAGTACACAGTGGGAAAACACGCTGTGCAGACCACGCTGGAGTCAGCAACTGCCATTGCTGTGTCCTACAGTGGGGTGCTGTACATTACAGAAACTGATGAAAAAAAGATTAACAGGATAAGACAGGTCACAACCGATGGAGAGATCTCATTAGTTGCTGGAATACCCTCAGAGTGTGATTGCAAAAATGATGTCAACTGTGACTGTTACCAAAATGGAGATGGCTATGCTAAAGATGCCAAACTTAATGCCCCTTCCTCCTTAGCTGTGTCTCCAGATGGCACCCTGTATATTGCAGATCTGGGAAATATTAGGATACGGGCTGTGTCCAAGAACAAACCCCTAATGAATTCAATGAACTTCTATGAAGTTGCTTCTCCAACTGACCAAGAGCTTTATATCTTTGATGTCAATGGTACTCACCAGTACACTGTGAGTTTAGTCACTGGAGACTATCTGTACAATTTTAGCTACAGTAATGATAATGATATTACTGCTGTAACGGATAGCAATGGGAATACTCTCCGTATCAGACGGGATCCGAACCGGATGCCAGTAAGAGTGGTCTCTCCTGATAACCAAGTCATCTGGCTGACAATAGGCACTAATGGATGTTTGAAAAGCATGACTGCACAAGGGCAGGAACTGGTCTTATTTACCTACCATGGCAACAGTGGACTTCTGGCAACTAAAAGCGATGAGACTGGATGGACCACTTTTTTTGAGTAAGTATATAAAATAAAGTCAGATACCTCATAGTTTTATTGAGTTCTGTTGGACCATTTGAAAAATTTCTGGAGACTGATGAAGTAACTGTAAAGATGACCCCTGATAACAAAAAAAGCAGAAGATACTTTTAATTTTTCATGCTGTCTTCCTCTGTCTGACTTCTTCTGAACATTGGGTCTGAATGCTTTTGAATTCATTATTTAGAGCTTCAGTTTTATGTATTGAAATAATAGTAAGACAGCATTTCACTCTTGTCAAGAAATTTGTAGCTCAGACAACCGCAGTTTTGTAGTTTTGCATCTAAAACTAGATTTTCATCACACTTGCTCATTAGATTGACATTGTTCTGCAGAAAATGCTGACAAGAAATTCGTCTTCTCTGCTCAATATTGTTTTTTTCCTTTTTTTTTTCTAAGTAAAAGCATGTCTGCATGGTCTGTTACCCAAAATAAAAGGCTGGATGGGTAGTAAAAGGTTGTCTTTCACTGAGTGGCAAATATGGCACAGCAGGCTTTCACACAGGTGGACCCAGGTGGAGGAAGCTGAGAAAAGAAATGTGGGCCATGGGAGGAAGAGTCATTCCTGTAAGATTAAACTGAAAACACAGAAACCACCAGCACCGTGCCGTGTACAGGTGGAATCACAACAGTGAGAGGTATTACTGGAACAGTAGGACTTGTAATTTTACCAACCTCTGAAAAAATCTTTTCAGTGAATTGCTTTAGTCTTTGTTACAGTCATTAAGTCATCAATGCCTGTTCATAACAGCCAGATTAGCAAAACACTTTACAGAATCCTCAATTATATTGACTAAGGAAGGTCATGGCAATTTATAGATAAACCAGTAGAACTGGAGAGCTCACATATGGGTTTTGTAGGTAACGTCATCTCCAAATGAGCTGAACTGGAAACTGATGTACTAAGCAAAATGTAACAAAAATGTAGTTTAAAACCCAAACCATTATTTCAAAAAAGATCAATGTAGAATTAACACAGATTTTTTTTCAGTCATCTCTGACAACTGGAAAAATAAGTGCATTCTTAAATCGCATGCAAGATATGATGAGACTGAATAAAAAGGTGTCTGTGAAGGAGTGAAGATGTAGCATTAGGATGATAAGTAAAAGTATTAGAGGGTCCTTAGCTGAACTATTCAGGATTACAAAGGGCATCATGAAAATCCAGTAAGTCCCTCTTCTTTCTTTCTCCCCCCTCTTCTTTTCTCCTATCTTTATGATGAAATGCAGTGGCAACTGCTGCCAAGGTCAGGGCCTAAAAAAACCCTTTCAATTCAACACACATGATAAAGAAAATAAAGTGCCAATGGCAGGCAGTGGCAGCAAAGCCAAACATCTGTGTTCTGAGATAACTTCATATTTCTGTCAGTGTACATTTGGCTGAGGCAGTGTGCAGGAGGACTCTGAGCACCTGTATCTACTCTCCAGCCTTTACACATGCCCATCAGACACACAAGAGCAGCAGGTGCTGCTTCACTGCATATTGTGTCCTGAAGTGGAGACAGAGCTAGAAATGCTGATCCCTAACAAAGACAGCAGGTGGAATGGTGCTGCTGCCAATTTTAAGGTATTCTTACAGTAATCTGTAAATTGGCAGGGCTTTAGTAGTGGGCATGTTCCCAAAGCGTTAGCACACATCTGTAATATTTAATTGTGCACTGGTACATCCGCTGCGTATCTTTTTAGGTCCTGCCAAGAGGACACAGAAGCACAGCAAGGGTACACAGAGGAATGAGAAAGTGTTCAACTGGGAGGGCATGTGTTCTCCTTCTAGTGAGTTAGGCCTGTCCTGTATGTTGAGAGACCAAAGCACAGCTTCAGATGGGCTGGGAATAGCTATCCATTTCCACAGGGAATAAATTTGGTGTTTAACTGTGACACACACAACCACTTGTTCCCTGTAGGCGAGTTGGGCAAGACAGTCAATTTGTGGGATAGTGAAGTCCCATACATAAATTAAGGCATCTGCTGGGTACAGCAGGCACTTTAAATCATGCTGGCATTCATACTGGCTAATTGAGGACCTAGAGTTTTAATTAGGGCAGTAATTTCTCACCATGATGCCTATAGGTTTTCATAGCCTACTGCGGTGTACCACAGAAGTAGCTGGTGGCTCCTGAATGTATCTTAATGGCATCTGCGTGGTCGCAAAAAAGTGGGTATTATATTCCCTGTTAAGTGGTTGATAGGTCTGTATTTTTCATCATAGGGAGAGGTTAGGGTACTGTGTGTCATGAAGTACATAGCTATTTCCTGAGTCTGTAAATAGGCATCTTTCACACCTGATCTGCTTTCATGCAGACTTCCTGGCCTGAGTTAGGTTATGTCCAGCTGGCTTAAAGAGAACCCAAAGAGCAGGCTATTCCCCTCAGTAAGTATTAGTATTATTTCCAAGCTGCTGCTTATGCACTTCCTAAACAATTACCACCGACCAACGTCTCATTAGAATTCCCAAGCTGAAATAATTACGGAGAAAGCTAGGCAATTTCACTCTCCCCAGATTTGCAAGTGTATGAGGCTTTTGCGGAAGCAAAGATATTTATCTCCTCCCTGTAGCCATGGTGAAGCAGTAATCTGTTTAATTGCAACAAGGAGGATTCAGATTAGACATTTGGAAAAACTTCACAGTGAAGATTTTGGAGCCCAGGAGCAGATGACAACGATAGTGACCCCGTGCCCTTCACAGACTGTCTTTAGGAGCAGATTAGACATCTTTCAGGACCAATGCAGGAGGAACAGATCCTGCCTTGGGGTAGGAGTTGGACCGCGTGACCTCTCAAGGTCCCTTCCAGTCATGTTTTCTATGGTGCTGTGTACAAGTTAATGCCAAAAATAAAAATTTGCACTGATTATGTAAAGCTATAGGGAATAAGTGGAAAAATAAAAAGCACTGTGTTCTTTTTCTTGCCAAAACAGCATTCTTAAAAACATCCATTGGGCATCATAGCTGCTTGATTCTTTTTAACATAAAATCCCCATGCACCAAATTTTCCTGTTGAAGCAAAAATAGCTGTAAACACGAGTATTTTGCCATTTTTTTATTCTAAGATCACCAAGTATTGTTGTGACTTTTTGGTGCTGATGATTTGTTACATTGAATCTGACAAGGTTGTGTTTCCAGAGGTTTCTGCTACTGTTGCCAAAACAGATGGAATCCATGTGTGCCATGGAAGGGCTCGTGTGGGGGTGACATGATGTAGAAGTGTGTATTTCTCAGCTTCTGCATATTCGTATTTGTAGGTAGTGTGGGCTAAAAAATGTCCAACTGAAGTGTTTTCTGTTGAAAAAAAAATGAAGTCTTGTTAAAACAGAAAGGTTTCCTCAAACATCAGGCAAGGAATAAGAAAGCAGGAAGAGAAATCATTCTAAGTTACTTATTCTGCTTTAGCAATAGCAAAGTATTTCAGCTTCATTGCTGGATGCACTTTCATTTAATATCACAGTTTATTTATGTATTTTATTTACTCTAGTATTCAAATTCTCAAAATGTTTTGTAAAGAGGATATACTTTATATTCCATGGTGACTTTAGACTTTCTTCCCACTCAGAGTTAAAAGTACTCAACTGTTAGAATGTCCAGTGGAGTAGAAATGCCTTTTTTCAACTAGCTTTGACTATGGCTGGATTGTTTCACCCTCTGGTTGTCACACATCTGTTTAAATGGCAGAAGATACATGGAGGAAAAGTACTGTGAGTTTAAGTAATAAAAAGATCAGCCTTTGGGCACAGGAATAGCTTTATTTTGCATCCTGTGCAAATCTGGTTGTATAACCAGAGTGCGGATCTAGAGAACTTAGATCATTTCAGTTGAGTTCTCAGTGATCTGAGAACAGATTTAGGAAACCAATTTAATCTTTTTTTTTTCCTTTTTCAGAAAAACTTTTCAGTGAAGGAGGAAATCTTTTTCAAAAACACTGCATCCCAAAACTTGGCAATCACTCCTCTGGCACATCCTAAAGCATTTGGTCTTGTTTCTTGTCATGGCTTTTTTCCACAGTTTAAATCACACTAATATCAGATCCAAAAGAAGTTTACTTTTTTATTTCATTTAGCCTGGACACTAATTAATCTATAATTTATTTTATTTCCTCTCCACTTTGCCTTAGAAGGGAAGGACTGACATATATAAGACTTTTTTTTAAACTCTGTTTTTTACAATGAAAATTGTAATTACTAGCTTGAATTATTTAGGATATCATATAATCTGTTTTCTTTGTTTACAGATGTAGGGTTTTTTTAATATCTTTATGGAAAAATGAATTTCTAAATTTCTATTTTGTTAAGGGTTAGAGTCTGTGGTCAAAAACTGACACTAAATTTCAAGAATGTAAACACTCAACTTCATAGTAACTGTTACCTCTTTTTGAAGGTCTAAAAATGTGCTGAATAGAGACAATATTAACAGAGCACATACAAAAATGATTGAAAATACATATATACTGAAAAACCAATGGAGCCATACAAAGCTAAAAGTCCTCTAGATTGGGTTTTATAATGAAATTACAATATTAAACAAGTATAAAAGTAATCAGCCTAATCAAATTCTGTTATAAAATTGTGAGATATCTGAGCTGGAAACTATTAACTATAACTGCATATTATGTATGAATAATATGAACATTTAAACATATAAATCTTAAAAGTTAAGCTAATTATATGCATATTAACATTTGGGAAGTGGCACTTCCTAGCTAGTCTGTATGACATTAGTTCTGTGCAGCCATTTCCATTCTGAGTTTCCATACAGATGTCTAAGCCAGGTGCACAGGAGTGTTTTCACTGGACTTAAGTGTTTGAAGTATCAGAAGTGAATGCCTAAAAAGCCTTGGAGTGCCCCTGTGCAATCACTCAGTCCTGTAGGTCCTATCAGCCCCAGGTCGCTGTCAAAGCCCCGGCATGCCAGCAGTTGCCAGAGAAGTCGTTTGGATGAATCACTGGCCTGCTGCCATGCCAGTCTATGGCTGCTTTGTGCTCATCAG